CCTTTTGTTTAAGAAAAGATGCCATTCAGCTTACAAGCATCTACTAACTGCTTCTTCTACCTGTTTAAATAATACATAAGAGATCCATTCACAGATCTCTTGCACGTCGTGAAGGCTGGCTCTAAAATAGTAGCCAAGTAAGCTTCAACAGGATGTCAGTAAGATAAGTCCAGAATAAATTGTTTATTGAATGCATCAAGAAGTGTTATTCAAAATTGGGGATAAAACCAGTTGACACATACATATCCTATAATCCTAAAACATCTTCCCAAGTGATTCTTGCTTGGGTAGCAGGCTCTAATCGGACTTATTTTCATTCAGATACATTCAGGAATAAAAGGGAAATATTTTAATTCCAGCAGACTGCTAGCCGCAACACCAGGTCTCTGTCTGAGTTATGATGGGGGAATTTATCTGAGAGAGCTTTGCTTAAGGGGTATACAAGCTAGGGATCATCCTCCAACTATACCAGAGTCAGAACCCTCTAGGAGCAGCACAGATGACAGACAGGAAATACCTTTCATGGAATTTATTAAGAAAATGTCCCTAATATATTCAACTAATTCAATAAAAATATCACACACACATACACGCAAGAGCTAAGAAATAAAGGGCTTATATGATCTTAAAAGGTCAGAGATGACAAAGGGCAAAGCGTTGATGGGATAATAAGTTACCTTCTGAAGACAAGAGTCTGTGGCAAAGAGCAGACGCCTTAGCCGGCAAGAGAGATGGGTGAACCAGCCAATACGCATCCCAGGAGACTGAACCAAAGATGGCTGAGTTGGAAGCCCAGTTATAGGAAAATTGTGCCTGCAGGGCAGCAAGGCACAATAGGGGAAATGGTCCTGAATGGAATGGCCGGTATTGGCTTGAAAATGGGCCTTAAAATGGATTTGATGAATGTTACTATGAGATATGACTCGAGTGGTTGCCAAATGGATTAAAATTATATAGGTATTTCAACGCTACCCATTTTGATAAAGGTATACATGAAACGAGACGTTATATGCATGGTTCGTTGTGTTGATGGTGTTTGAATTGCTTCCAGTAAACAGAATATTGGGAAACGAATTTACAAGCCTGTGAAGAACTTTTTTTTGGTACAATACATCATGGTTGTTTGCTTCCTTTCAACTGATAATTTAATAGCAACTATCAGGAATGATTTTAGGGACCATGGAATAAAATACCAGACTATGCCTTATACTATGTCAATAATGCCAGTATTAGCTAGTCTGAAGGAAGAGAAAGAAAAATACCAGTCCCAGGTTCACAACACTCTGTGTGGATTGTCTAAGAAAAAAATAGTCTGGCTTTTAACTGTGACCTTTAAGTGATTAAGAACTCATTACCTACTTTTGTAGTTCATTTCAACACTACCTGTAAGCACTGCTAAGAATGTTATTGATTGGAATTTGTAAACCTTTCATTTAAAATGCCTTTTTTCCTTTTCCCTAACTCAACCCATTTCAGCATTCTTAAGAATGATTTTTTCTAGCTAGTTATCTCAATACACAATAACAATATTTTTAATTTTAAAAATACCATAATTCTTAGGTTTGCTGTAGGACAGTGTGTGCCCTCTACAGCTGCATTGGGACTGAAATATCATAAAAGATTTTCATACTGCACTAGACTCTCTACACTTGGGTTTACAGAAATAGTAAAACAATTTCTCAGTTACTTTTTCTGGAAACTGAAACACAACTTAACAGCTTTCCCAATATACATATGCATTAATGTTTGCATATGAAATATTAGTTTCAATAACGACAATCGAGCTAGAATTTAATTTTCAGAGACCTTCATCTGGCAGTACAGGGCCATACAAAGATCCATTCAAGATCTGGTAATACACAGGCAGATGTAATACGCAGGGGGATAATAAGTTTCATTGACTAGTTCCAATAATATGGGAGAATAGATGGCAAGACAATTACTAATAGAATTGAAAGAGGATTGATGGACTCAAATATTTATGGAGAAAATGCCGAGACTTTCAGTAGTCTTTAAAAAAATTATATTGTCCACATTAATTGCAGAAAACAATCTTTGAACATTATTGCAGTATTTCCTGAAGGCAACATCTGTGAGCCACGTGGAGTGCTGTCCCTACACAGCTGGTGCTGATTCTCCAGTCAACAAACCAGAAGCTCAGGTCAGCTCCATGCACTGGCTTCATTTGAGCCTCAGATTCTCTATTTTTTATTCATTGCAGAGCAATTAGCACTGTACAATGTAACCAAGAAAAGATTTCTTTCTATATTTGTGGATCTGCTGCTGTAAATCTGCTTTCTATGGGAGAAATCTTAAAAATTCTCACTATTATGTTGCATTGAAAATGCAGCTACAATGGAGAGAAATCATTGTACACATAGCAAATCTGTCAGATTTACCAGATGTCATCTGTTCAATCCTTTAACTTCCCATGGACATTTGGTTCAAAGTTTAAAAACATGAGGGAAAGTGTACAATTTAGTTCTGTCTTGCTCATCTTGATATGTACTGAAAGTAGTACAAGATCATCTGAATTTCTTTTAGGAAGAAATATATAACAAAATGCATATACGGAAGGAGAGTACTCTTTATCACTAGACTCACACTGATTTTCCATTTCCTCCTAACAAAAGTCCTGGATTACAATCACTATCTCTTTCATAGGAGGAGACAACTGGATATATTGTGAGACAGAGTATTATAGCCAGCTTCACATCAATACCCCTTCCTATCTTGCAGTGAGCTTGAGGCAACTGGTCCTGTTTTATCCTTACAAGCAGTTTGTGATGTAGCTTAAAGTGTTACTGGCAAAAGGTCAAGCAGTGAGCTTCATCAATAAGAGAGGATTGGAATCCAGGTCTTCCTTGGTTTAAGATGAACATTCTCTATTGCATTGTTTCTGGTAAGTTGTGCTTTCTAGAGCAGAGATGGGGATAACTGGAGGGAAGACAGGTCTAGAACATGCAAACAGATCTAGCAGGAAAACAAGATAGTGGACTTTATTTCAGAAGGTAGCCATGTTGGTCTGCAACAGAAGAGCTAGACTTGAGTCCAGCAGTACCATAGAGACCAACAAGATTTTTGGGGTATGAGCTTTCAAGAGTCAAAGATTCCTTGATAGACTCTGAACAAAGGTAGTTTCAACTCTTGAAAACTGATACCCCCCCAAATCTTGTTGGTCTTTAAGGTGCTACTGGACTCAAATCTAGCTCTTCAATGGACTTGGTAAGGTTTGACCTGAGAGTGGGTATGCAAAGGTATGATTCTTAAAGAGCATCCTTGTATATATGGCTGGAAGAGAATTTAAGAAGTTATTCAAGCAATTGTCTTAAGGATAGCCTCCACCTAAACAAATCTTTTCTCAAGTTATTCTTAAAGGCTGCCATCAGTGCTTGTTCATCACAACTTGCTCTCACCATTCTTTCAAGTCACCTCTCCTAAAAATTAGGAAATTTGCTTAATTTACTTCAGCTGTTTTGAATCTATAGGCTTTTTTGGTTCCCTGTAGAAAGGGCTACAGCTAGTTCTTTCTTAAAAGCAGTACCTTGAAAGCTTACTCACTAGTATGTGAAGTTTAAATTGGTAACATTGAAATGTCCCAGGTTGAAGGGACCTGTTACCACAAACTTTCCAAATCTAAAGCAGTATTAGATCTGTTCAGAGTCTTGATAGAGGACCTCATGGCAGGATTTAAAAGGAGTAACGTTACTGTTTTATGGTGCATATACTGGAAGTCTCATCTTTTCTTCATGGAATTCTATAAAATGAATTCCCTCAGCCTTTCCCCTAAAAACATTATCACTAGACCTCTAATAAATCATTGCTCTTACTGAATTTTCTCTCATTGGTTCTCTGAAGTATGGTAATTATATATAAAGTATATTACCAGTTAATGCAAGCCAATGCTTTCATCACGTCTTTTTTTTAAAAAAAAAACGTTTGGGCTGTGGCTGAAGCAGGGATCCTAATCATCCTTCGTGATTGTGAGCGGAGCGCGAGACAGTGGCAATTATTCCAGATTCACCAGCACCGATTTTTACAAAATATAATTCTATTATGGGAAAGTAAAAATTGGAAATTCGCCGGTCTCAGCAGCTCATACGGCTGCTTCTGGCTGCTGAGCGCAAAGCGCTTTAGAGCCAGGCAGCTGAGAAGGGTAGCCAGGCTCCCGCCCGCGGCATTATCCCTATGTAAGATGGCGGCTGTTGCCGCAGCTGAAACCCGGGCCATTTTAACCACACACCACTATAAGAGGGGTGGAAGAGTGTGCGGGACAAATCGGTCAGTGTCAGGAAGAGTGTCAGGCTCCGAAACAAGCGCGGCAAGGGGGAAGCCAAGGAAAGCGAGTCAAGGGACAGGCACCCAAACGAAGCGCCAGAAACCCCTTCCTCCTTAACGGCTCTTTACATCCGGGACACCCAACTCTTATCGCCGCTCCCCCACAACCGGAAATGATAACGGAGCGGCTGCCAAGTTTCCCCACGCGGAATCCAGGAGTTCGCCCCTCCCCTTTAATCTCCTCCGGGGGGCGTGTTTGATTAGGGCATACGTTGGTGCCCATGGGGTGAGAGAACAACCGCCGCTGCCAACCGCTCCCCAGAAAAGACGGGCCGTCCCTGTTTTGCGCGCGCAGATGCACTAAAGGAACAAGCACAGCCCGCCCTTCCTCCCGCCAGCCGCCTTGGCTGTGTACCGTGTGATGAAGGACTCGAATGCCAAGTTCCCCTTCCTTGAGCGGAGGGGGGAGGCATGGGGGACGAAAGCCTGTCAGTCGCGCAGCAAGCTCCGCCTCTTCCGGGCCTGTGAGGCTGGGCCGCCGCCTCCTGTCCTCCTCCTCTCGCTCGCTCGTTCGCTCTCTCCCTTTTGTGAGTTATAGCAACCGTTGCCTTGTGAATCAAGCGCCATAGTCACCGTAGTCCTGGCGACTGTTACCCATCAACAACAACGGCTCCTCTCCTCCACCACCACCTCCTCCTCCTCCTGCTGCTGCTGCTCCTCCTCACCCCCATCCTCACCCCCTTCCTCATCATCACCCACAACAACAACAACCTCCACCAGCAAGAGCAACACCACCACAGCCCTCCACAGCCCAGGTGAATATGATTGTTATGTGCAGCCTCCCCCCCCCCCCCCCAATCTTTTTTTCCTTTTTCTCCCCACCGGCCTGACGCTCCGTGGTTGGGTTTAGACCGGTGAATGTGGAAAGTAGGGAATGCTGAAACGTGTTATGTGTGTGCGTGAGAGAAAGATTCTACCCCCGGCCTGTTTTGTGTGTTCTTTATATACCCCTCCCCTCCCCCCTACTTTCTCTGTTGTACTCTGATGGTGGCTGTAGCAATCTGGTGGAGTTTGGTTGGGGAAGGGGGGGTATTTGTACTGAGGGCATGGAGAATGGGAAGAGGATTGGTGGTGGTGCTTCTGGAGAGGGAGGCACACTTGTGGTCTGCTCAAGGTAATTGTGTCTGGGGTGTTCTTTTTTGTTTTAATCCGCTGCCCATTCTTTGTAGGGAGCTACTGGGAAAAGGGAATTAAGGTGGCTTTGTAATTCCGTATACTTTTACTCACAATTCAACAGCCCCCCAAATTTGCCGTGTACAACCCTGGGGTTGCTTTCTCTTTTGGAACGTGGGCCTTGGACCACAGCTGGGATTGTGTGGCTTTGGAGACTCGTGTGTGTGTGAGAACTTTTTGCTTCTGATCATCCTACCCTGGCTGGCTTTTTATCCTATTCTGTGCTTTATGATGAGTAGGTTGTTTCATACTTATTGCCATTAAGTTGGTCATTCATAGACACACTGTCTTCTTTGTGCTGAAATCTCCTTCTTGTTTATCAAGGGTTCCAGTACAACACAATGTTTCTTTGCTGTTAGAAAAATTGTAGAACTTCTTATGAGAAAATTATTTTTATACTTTTGATTTAATCCTAAATCACTACATACCCTAGGCTTGCTGTGTATCCACGTATGCATGGCTGCAGTATATTTGATGTGTTTTTAATCAGGGGGTCCTCTATAATGTTAAATCATTTTCATAAACAGCTGTCATTTTGCTTTATGAGATTGCATATTAAACTACAGAAGGCCAGGAAAAATATCAGAGAGATATAAATTTAATTTATTCAGTTTTAGAAGTTTTTCCCCCCTTGTAGCTTTCTTACTTTCCCTGGGGTATTGAAACTGGAGCCAAGTTGACCGTAAAGAATTTATAAATCTAAACTTGAAATGTAATCCTGTCTGTGGCTTCTAGTTAAGATCTGCAGTTTTGTACTGAGCACATATAATTATCAGATCTGTACAGACAGAAGAAAATATTCTTGATACTGGATCAGTTGGAGCAATTTTTGATGTTCAGTTACTTTGTACTTTACCCCCTATCCCCAGCCAGTCCTCTCATTTTAGTATAGTAGCAAATCATCTCCCAATGAGTGATTTTGATGATTAGACAATATATTGTTTAGACAGTAGTCTTGTGCACACTTACTTGGAAGTAAGCTTCACATGAGTAAACATGCATAGGATCAAACTGCATGAATACTCATGATTTAAAAGGTCATATTACTTAACTCCTGTTTGTTAATGTGATTTTGTTAGATGCTAATGTTTCCAACTGGATTCTTATTAATTTGGTTGATTCTGTATAAAGGAAACTAATTTAATTGTGAATATTATTGTTCTTTTCATTTGTGAAACTTCTATTGAATACATTCTTGTTGCTTGTAACAGTGCCAACAGAAAGATATTGATTTATCTGACAGAGCAACCTGTGAAGAATGTGACAGTGTCTATTATTCCTGGGACTGTCAAGTGCAGAGCAGGTTAGATAATTAATGCTTTGGTAAAGCGAAGACTGTTCTCTGAATTAAGACTTGTGTGTCACATAGTTTGACTCTGTAAACATTTTTTTTCACACGTATTGATAATGATGATATATGTGATCATTCCATGAGCCAGTAAAAGGCTGTGTAATATATGGATATGTAATTGTTTATTACATATTAATATGCAAGTATTTAATGTAATGTATATCCAAAGTTGTTTAAAAATAAAGACACTTAAATAGTAGTTATTTACTGGATAAAGCATATTTTCTCCTCTCCTCTGTTTATTGTACCCACCTGTTGTCTTTAGACTAAAATTATAGTTTTATAAAGGTAGGAAAGGAATGTGATTATTGTCTTTCTAGCCCATATAATGCAATAACACAATCTGTGACCACTAAGATTACAGTGTACCAGATGCAGAAAGCAAGATAGTATGAGGTTTGGCTAGTATGGTTAATAAGTTCTGCTTTGGTGTGATCATTGGAATAGTGAACCCACACACATATCCATTCAGCAGCTAGTAAGACTGTAGGGGAGGGGAACCATTCTGCCTTGTATTTTATTCCTGAACAGGCAAGCTTTTACCTATTATCATTCCCAGAGCAGGCTTTAATTAGAACCAATACACCAGTCTTGATATTTTAACCTTAGCTGTGTCTTAAGTATGATATCTCAGGGGTTGGCCAGTGCTATGTGTAACAAATTTAGATTGGTGCACTGTTTCTAAGTCAGTTATTCTTCTCTTGTAGGTGAATAGATAAGTTACTGAATCGTAATGATGCTGACATTACAGCTCCCCTCCCCATCTCATCTGATTAAAAAAAGTTTAAGGAAAAAAATCAAAGGAGATATTCTTTGATCCCTATAGGATACTGATGAAACATTAAACTAATTGATTGGGCTTTTTAAAGAAACCTGGTGAGAATCTTTGGCTGTATAATGGTTTTTGAGGTAATGTGTGTGGTAATTAGTCTGCCCTCTTAAGACTCTGGTCATGTATTGCTTTCTGAGTTCATAGTTCAAAAAGCATATCTGAAAACTTGATGAAATTCCTTCTTCTCTTCCTATGTCCTAACCAGATTTAGTCGCCCACCCACCCTTATCCTCTCTTTATTCACCTGATAGGTACATCCATTTGAAGTTTGGAAGGCCATTCCCTTTTCCAGATAAACATGACATTTATCCACCTGTTATTCTGAAGATCCATATTCTTGTTTACTGCAGTAGTGGTATACTGATTCAACAGTACTTTTTTTTTTGTACATTTGGAACCAGTTGTGATCTTGTGCAGGCAGTGGGTACACGTTTTCACGAGGTTGCATTTTTTTTGGCCATCAAGTTGTAGCTCACTTATGGTGACCCTATAGGCAAGAGATGTTAAGAGATGGCTTGCCATTGTTCGCCCCTGTGTAGCAACCCCAGATTTCCTTGGTGGTCTCCCATCTAAGTACTAATTAGGGCTGACCCTGCATAGGTTCTGGGATCTGGCGAGCTCTGGTTAGTCTGGGCTATCAAGGTCAGGGCAAGAGGTTGTATAGCCATCTTTATGTGTATCTTTAAGTTAGTCGGTGAAGTATGTCCAGCCACATGTGCACAAATCTATTTTAAATATCTGACGAACACATGAATATTTTGACACACACATAGTTGCTTTTCTTTAGCATCAACTAACACCTGACATGCATATATAGTTGCTTGTTTACTGGACATCTCTGCTTGCTGTGGTGTTCCATAGAAGGAAGCAATATCAGTTCCACTAGTACACAGAGGCTTATAGAAATGGCCAAGTTATTTTACTACCTTGCCTCACACTGAGTACTAGTTAACCACTGTGCTCAGTGTCTTGTCTTGTGGGCAGGTGTAGACTGAAGCCTTGGAAAGTAGCTGAATGCTGCTTTCTGTACGAAGAACTGCTTTTCCATAGTAGGAAAAAGTGGCATCTCCCAGCATTAACCAAGGTTTAAGAGTTTGTTCAGAAGCTTGATGGGACAGTTGCTTGCTGACCCAAATTAATTTCTTTACTTAATTTATATACTCTCTTTCTTCCCAATGGAGATACAGAATGGCTTACACCATTCTCTTTTCCTCCATTTTATCCTCACAACAACCTTGTGATATAGTTTAGGCTAAGTGTGCATGGCTGATCCAAGGTTATTCAGTGAGTTTCTGTGGCAGAGTGGGGGTTCTAACCTGGATTCTAGTCTGACACTAACCTGTACACTATGGTGTAAGATGCCAGAAAGGAAGGGAACGTGATCTGCCTCAGGCATCTCTTTCCAGATCTAGTACATCATAGTTCTTTATCCTTAGCCACTTTTTTGAATGCAACAACTATTAGTTTATCATCAATAAATAGCAACAGGCTAATCTAAATTGTGAGCATTCCCAACAGGAATCTGTCCAGCTTCCTCTTGGAAAACCCTAAGGAGAAGGTTCTTCAAGCTTTCTATTGGTAAAGTGCTGTTAGGAAGATTCTCTCAATGTCTAACCTAAATTTACCTTTCTAAATCTGGCTGCTTTTATGTTCATATCATGACCCACTGTTGTGAAATCATTCGGTGTAGTCAAAGCTGCAGCAGGTTAAGAGTGTAATTCTGCAAACAGCATGAGTCCATGTTGAATCTCTTGCATGTTTTGAGTTCTTCTAGTAAGTAGGTGCTTGTGTTCTTGCTGGCTGTCATGGGGGAAGTACAGTCTTTTGCATTATCCAGTAGTTCTGATTTGTACATTGAGTCTTGCATGTGCAGGAACTTGAATTATTCTCTGTGGGTAGGAAATGTTTTGAGTGTGATTGCAGGTATCTCTGTGTATGCTCCATTTCCTCTTTGTAGAAGAGAATGGAGAACCCCTGTGTTAGTGGAGCTGTGTATCACTGACTGGGGTTTTAGTATATTGGACCACTGACAGATTATTGATATCGTCTGTGTTGATTTGCTTTTTAGGAACTGCTGCTTTCAGTAGTGGTGAAGCAATGAGGGCTTTGTTAGAGTGAAACAGTATGTCCATGCCCCCTGATAACCAGTTTTATTGTTTAGTTATGATAATTATTTTAAAATCTGTATTTTCATGGCGTAATGGTACCATTTTTCATATTATGTTTGAAACTTTTTCTATACGTTCTCTCGACAGCATAGTTCAGTATATTACTAATGATTTGTCCACCAGAAAAGCAGATGTTATGCTGTACTGGTAAGAACAGTTTGTTTGTTTTTTTAAAAAACATGAAGCTTAGAGTACATATGCTACCATCTGATAGAATAGCTTCATTACATC